GTATTGGGCTGCCGGCCTTTCCACACACATGACCCTTAATGGCCCCCCCAGTCTTAGTCCGTAGGGTTCAATTTCAAGTTGGGCTGGCCCTTTCCACACACGACCTTTAATGGCCCCCCCAGTCTTAGGCTGGCCATACATTATACAATTATCTGGAGATTTTTGGTTTAGATTTACCAAAAACTATATAATAGGAGGACAAACCTAAACAACACTCTCAGTTGTATCCAATTAGGCAGGCCCTTGCAGTACACAGTTGAAGGTAAATCTAAAGGAAATTGGGTAGAAAATTGGAAGATAATTGTATAATGTATGGCCAGCCTTAGTCCGTTGGGTTCAATATTGAGTTGGCCCCGCCCTTTCCACACACATGACCTTTAATGGCCCCCTAGTCTTAGTCCGTAGGGTCCAATATTGAGTTGGGCCGGCCTTTCCACGCACATGACCTTTAATGGCCCCCAGTCTTAGTCCGTAGGGTTCAATATTGAGTTGGCCCCGCCCTTTCCACGCACATGACCTTTAATGGCCCCCAGTCTTAGTCCGTAGGGTTCAATATTGAGTTGGCCCCGCCCTTTCCACACACACGACCTTTAATGGCCACCTAGTCTTAGTCCGTAGGGTTCAATTTCAAGTTGGGCCGGTCTTTCTACACACGACCTTTAATGGCCCCCCAGTCCTAGTTCATAGGGTCCAATATTGAGTTGGGCTGGCCCTTTCCACGCACATGACCTTTAATGGCCCCCCAGTCTTAGTCTGTAGGGTTCAATTTCGAGTTGGCCCCGCCCTTTCCACGCACATGACCTTTAATGGCCCCCCAGTCTTAGTCCGTTGGGTTCAATATTGAGTTGGGCCGGCCTTTCCATGCACATGACCCTTATTGGCCCCCCAGTCTTAGTCCGTAGGGTTCAATATTGAGTTGGGCCGGCCTTTCCATCATGCACAATATTGAGTTGCATGCACATGACCTTTAATGGCCCCCCAGTCTCAGTCCGTAGGGTTCAATATTGAGTTGGCCCCGCCCTTTGCAGCTATAACAGCTTCAACTCTTCTGGGAAGGCCGTCCACAAGGTTTAGGAGGGTGTCTATGGGAAGGTTGGACCATTCTTCCAGAAGCACATTTGTCAGGTCAGGCACTGATGTCGGGGGAGGAGGCCTGGCTCGCAGTCTCAGCTCTAATTCATCCCAAAGGTGTTCTATGGGGTTGAGGTCAGGACTCTGTGCAGGACAGTCAAGTTCCTCCACCCCAAACTGGCTCCTCCATGTCTTTATGGACCTTGCTTTGTGCACTGGTGGGCAGTCATGATGGAACAGGAAGGGGCCATACCCAAACTCCTCCCACAAAGTTTGGGGCATGGAATCCAAAATGTCACCTTAAGATTTCCCTTCCCTGGAACTAGGGGGCTAAGCCCAACCCCAGAAAAACACCCCCACCCCATAATCCCCACTCCACCAATTTTTACACTTGGCACAATGCAGTCAGGCAAGTACCGTTCTCCTGGCCACCGCCAAACCCAGACACGTCCATCAGACTGCCAGAGAGAGAAGCGTGATTGGTCAATCCAGAGAATACGCCTCCTCTGCTCTAGAGTCCAGTGGCGGCGTGCTTTACACCACGGCATCCAACGCTTTGCATTGCACTTGGTGATGGAAGGCTTGGATGCAGCTGCTCGGCCATGGAAACCCATTCCATGAAGCAAGTAAGCGCCTCCGCCTATTACCTTTTGTATCACTCAACCCTTCCTCGTAGATTGTAAGCTCCCAGGATCAGGGCCCTCTGCTTCTTCTTGTACCAAAATGTATTGCAACTGTAATGTCCGCCTTCATTTTGTACAGCGCTGCGCACACTGTTGGCGCCATATAAATCCCGTATGATAATTACCGGGTAAGGGAGGCCATTGGCGGCCTTGGCTTTCGCTCACCGGATCCCAGCCAGTAATTCCCCGCCGGCACCCAAGTATGGCGGACGGGGGAGAGACCTGTATGTAAACAGAACAGATCTCTCCACCGTCAGCTCCTGCACACTGCTTCGTATGGCTCTGCATTGCAGCATGCGTACAGTGAAACACACACACAGCACAGTTACCCCTTTGATGGCCCCAAATGTTAACCCCTTCCTGCCCAGTGCCATTAGTACAGTGTCGGTGCTTTTTATTAGCACTGATTGTTGTATTAGTGTCACTGGGGATGTCAGTGACACCGAGTCTGTTCCCTCCCCAGTGTCAGAATGTCCGCCGCAGTCTCATTATAAGTCGCTGATCGCCGCCATTACTAATAAAAAAAAAAATCCCCGTATCTATCCCGCCATTTGTAGACGCTATAACTTTCACGTAAACCAATTAATTTACACGTATCGGGATTTTTTTTTTTTTTTTTTTTTTTTTAGCAGAGACAGAATACATTTTGGCTGAAATTTATGAAGAAATTTGATTTTTTCAAAATTTTTTTATAGCAAAAAGTAAAAATAAAAAATATCTTTTTTCTGAAAATGGTCGGTCCTTTTTTTTTTTTCCCGTTTCTAGCGCATGAAATAAAAAAAATTTAAAAAACACACACACAGAAGTGACCAAATACCAGCGAAGGAAAGCTCTATTCGTGGGGGGGAAAAAAGGACGTCATATTAATTTGGGTGCGGCGTTGCACGACCGTGCAATTGTCGAAGTAACGCAGCTCCGTAATGCAAAAAAGAATGGCCTGGTCAGGAAAGGGGGGGGGATCATCTGGAGGGCGAGGGGTTGAACTTTAGCAAGTCGTCTTCACGTCTAGATGTCCAAATGCATGGAGTTGCTGCTGTGTGATTGGCCGATTAGCATCATGTGTTTAGCAAGCAATTGAAGAGGCGGGCCTAATGAAGTGGCCTCGGAGTGTAGAGTTGTTGTTAGTGGTGGGGGTTATTAGTGGTGGTGGGGGACTCCGCTGCCTGCTCTGATTGGTAGATACCGACTGTTCTTTGCACAGAAATAGGCTGGTTTGGATTACTACTGCAGGCTGGTCACACAGGGAACGAGGCCTTTTGCCTGGGCACGTGTCAGGGGGCCGCGATGGGCACGTGTGGGGGGTGGCACGATGGGCACGTGTCGGGGGGGGCCGCGATGGGCACATGTCGGGGGGGGGGGGGGCCGCGATGGGCACTGCGAGGGAATGTGGTGGGGAATGCGATGGGCACGTGGTGTGGTCTCCAATGGGTACTGCAATGGGGACATGGTGGGGTCTCCGATAGGCACTGCGATGGACAAGTGGTGGGGGCTGCAATGGGCACGTAGTGGGGTCTCCGATGGGCATGTGTCGGGGGGGCATGATGGGCACTGCGAATGGAATGTGGTGGGGACTGCGATGGGCACGTAGTGTAGTCTCTAATGGGCACTGCGACGGACAAGTGGTGGGGGGGGCTGCAATGGGCACATAGTGGGGCCTCCAATGGGCACGTGTCGGGGGAGCCGCGATGGGCACGTGTCGGGGGAGCCGCGATGGGCACTGCGAAGGGAATGTGGTGGGGACTGCGATGGGCACGTGGTGTAGTCTCCAATGGGCACTGCAATGGGGACGTGGTGGGGCCTCCGATGGGCACTGCGATGGACAAGTGGTGGGGGCTGCAATGGGCACACAGTGGGGTCTCCAATGGGCACGTGTCGGGGGAGCCGCAATGGGCACGTGTCGGGGGAGCCGCAATGGGCACTGCGAAGGGAATGTGGTGGGGACTGCGATGGGCACGTGGTGTAGTCTCCAATGGGCACTGCAATGGGGACGTGGTGGGGTCTCCGATGGGCACTGCGATGGACAAGTGGTGGGGGCTGCAATGGGCACACAGTGGGGTCTCCAATGGGCACGTGTCGGGGGAACCGCGATGGGCACAGCTATCCAGTTCACCTGCTGTGAAGCACTTTTAATTCTGGCTGTTATTTTTCACTCGCTTAGGCAGGTTAAACGCACAGAATTGTATTTTTATACTCCTTTATGGTAAGTTTAGCAGCACAGAAAGATCAGAGGACATCATACACATGGAAGACACCAAACACAATGGAAGACACCAAACACATGGAGGACACCAAACACATGGAGGACCACCAAACACATGGAGACACCAAACACCAAACACATGGAGGATGGGACACACGCATCATTCTCAGTATATTATCTGAACGCTAAAGCATTTGACATTAAAAAAAAAAAAACCCCAAGCGGGCCAAGCTGGATCTTCTGGTTCTGTTGAATGAATTCCGCCACCAATGAACCTCCAGCACCAGCTCTGAGAACCGATTGGCCCGGAGATAAAAACCAGGTAAAATCTATATAAAATAAAAAAAATAAAATAAAATGAAAAAATAAAAAAATAAAAATAAAAAAATAAAATAAATTTAAAAATAAAAAAATAAAATAAATTTAAAAAAATAAAATAAATTTAAAAATAAAATAATAAAATAATGGCGATCCCCCCCAGACGTATTCAGGCAGTCTACACACAGACTGATCGGTTTAATCTGAGCATTGTAAAGAAGCGTACAATTCAATCAGCGACTTCTCTACGTCCATGAAGCAGAAACACAAATAAAAGGCGTTGGGAAGGCCCTGACCAGAGCGCCCGCAGGCGCAGTGGGCGGAGTTTGGCAGGGAGGTCTTAGTAACGAAGGGACTGTTGTGCGTTTTGATTGCATAGGATGAGGAACCTCGGCGATGTCGCCATGCCGCGGCAGCTTTTTCTATGTAGGTCGCCTCTACGTCCATGAAGCAGAAAACACAAATAAAAGGCGGTGAAAAGGCCCTGGCCAGAGCGCCCGGAGGCGCAGTGGGCGGAGTTTGGCAGGGAGGTCTTAGTAACGAAGGGATTGTTGTGCGTTAGATTGCATGGGATGAGGAACCTTGGCGATGTCGCTATGCCACAGCGGCTTTTTCCTTGTAGGTCGCCATCATCTTCTTGATTTCTGCAATTGCTTTGCCGGGGGGTTGAGGCCCTGCAATACAGGAAGTAAGATTAGTGAACCGACAGAGGCAGAACGCGATCCGAATTATCTGTCAACGTGCCACGGATCATTACCACGTACCTTGGGACACGTCCTGGTGCAGTTCATGATGGTGTGGCAGCGGTACAGTGAGAAGGGATCCTGCAGTTTTGCTAACCGTTCTTCTGTGAAGTCGTCTCTGGAATCGATCATCCAGCGGTAAGCCTGCGAGGGGGGGGGGGGGGGGGGGACAGATGGGACAGTTCTGGGGATGAAGCACTGAGCTCCCAGGAATTTATTAACCACTTCCAGTCTGGACACTTTCCCCCCCTCTTCCAGTCCCGACTCTTTCCCCCCCCCCCTTACAGTCCCGACGCTTTCCCCCCCTTCTTCCAGTCCCGACGCTTTCCCCCCCCTTCCAGTCCCGACTCTTTCCCCCCCCCCTCTTCCAGTCCCGACTCTTTCCCCCCCTCTTCCAGTCCCGACTCTTTCCCCCCCTCTTCCAGTCCCGACTCTTTCCCCCCCTCTTCCAGTCCCGACTCTTTCCCCCCCTCTTCCAGTCCCGACTCTTTCCCCCCCTCTTCCAGTCCCGACTCTTTCCCCCCCTCTTCCAGTCCCGACTCTTTCCCCCCCTCTTCCAGTCCCGACTCTTTCCCCCCTCTTCCAGTCCCGACTCTTTCCCCCCCTCTTCCAGTCCCGACTCTTTCCCCCCCTTCCCGACTCCCCCCCTTCCAGTCCCGACTCTTTCCCCCCCTCTTCCAGTCCCGACTCTCCCCCCCCCCCTTCCAGTCCCGACACTTTCCCCCCCTTCCTGCCCAGGCCAATTTTCAGCTTTCAGCGGTATCACTCTTTCCCCCCCACTTTGACTCTTTCCCCCCCCTCTTCCATGACCTTTTTGCGCAATCATGCAATTTTCAGCTTTCAGCTATCACACTGTGACAATTGCGCAATCATGCAATGAATTTGAATTTATTAGCATTTTTTTTTGAGACAGATAAAACTTTATTTTGGTGGTATTTATGCACCGCTGGGAATTTTAGTTTTTTTGCTATATAAATGAAAAATTCCAAACATTTTGGTGCCGTGCACTTCCAAGGAGTGCATTCCTGCAGCCATTGAGAACTACTGTGTGAGCTGTGATTGGTCACAGCTTGTCACATGATACAAGGCTGTTGTGAATGGCCCTGTACCATGTGACCTCTGTGATCATTCACAGATTTCACACGTAGTAAGCAATGATGTCAGAAATGACATCTTGCTTACTACTATTCATGTGATCACTGATTGGCCAATCAGGGATCACATGATCGGGACCTTGCAGAGAGGTCCCGTACGACATCGCTGTTCCACTGTGTTCGGAGGACACAGCCGGCACCGGATCGCGGTGCTGCGTGCTCCCAGGAAGCGCGCACAAGCAGGAAGCGGGGAGGCCATTTATAAACAGCCACCCGACCCTGCGCTGCCACCGTCTGGCCGTTTATATACATGGGCCGGATGGGAGGTGGTTAAGGACAAGGGCCATCATTGTACTAAATAGGAATGAAGCACCGGCACCCCGATATCGTCCTGCGATTTCCTGTGTCATAGGGGTTACCCCAGGAGAGAGCAGCCATGTCATCATTACCTGCATGAGGACGGCCGGCCCGAGGTACTTGTCCGCATTCCACCAGTAGCTGGGACAGCTGGTGCTGCAGCACGCACACAGGATGCACTCATACAATCCGTCCTAAAGAGAGACACACATTGACAGATCAGACAACGGAAATATTCCTCAAAATGTTGGATATTCTTCATGGTCAGAGGACACTGGGACAAATAACGAGGAGGATTCTCACAGACATTCCTGCAGCCCCCAGATCACCCCAATTCCTGCCCCTTCACCCCTCAGCCCAATCTGCCCCCAATTCCTGCCCCTTCACCCCTCAGATCACCCCATTTCCTGCCCCTTCACCCCTCAGATCACCCCAATTCCTGCCCGTTCACCCCTCAGATCACCCCATTTCCTGCCCCTTCACCCCTCAGATCACCCCAATTCCTGCCCCTTCACCCCTCAGATCAGCCCCAATTCCTGCCCCTTCACCCCTCAGATCACCCCATTTCCTGCCCCTTCCCACCTCAGATCACCCCATTTCCTGCCCCTTCCCACCTCAGATCACCCCAATTCCTGCCTCTTCACCCCTCAGATCACCCCAATTTCTGCCCCTTCACCCCTCAGATCACCCCAATTCCTCACCCCTCTTCACCCCTCAGATCACCCCAATTTCTGCCCCTTCACCCCTCAGATAACCCCAATTCCTGCCCCTTCACCCCTCAGATAACCCCAATTCCTGCCCCTTCACCCCTCAGATCAACCCCAATTCCTGCCCCTTCACACCTCAGATCAGCCCCAATTCCTGCCCCTTCACACCTCAGATCAGCCCCAATTCCTGCCCCTTCAGACCTCAGATCAGCCCCAATTCCTGCCCCTTCACCCCTCAGATCACCCCAATTCCTGCCCCTTCACCCCTCAGATCACCCCAATTGCCCCTTCACCCCCTTCACCCCTCAGATCACCCCAATTCCTGCCCCTTCCCATCTCAGATCACCCTAATTCCTGCCCCTTCACAGGTCATCCCAATTTCTGCACCTTGACTGGCCCGCAATGTAACCTGACAGATGCTCCACCCCCAGAGACAGGCAAACTACGGCACGGGTGTCAGGGTCAGCCACAATATGGTTTTAGGTCACGTGGCATGTGTGGGGCTCAGACTGGCCTGCTGGAGGATTCTCTGGGTGGGGGTTCTGTTCTTTACAAATAAAAGGGTTCTGCCATATTGGTTATCAATTATAAAGCCTGGCCTGCCCTCCTGCACCAACGGCCCACCCACCTCCATAGCATTTCAGAGGCCCTTCGGAGAGGTTCGGGGGTCAGCATTGGGTGAAGAGGCCGGCCCACCTATCCTTGTCCTCACCGAGGGGTGACCTGAGGCGCCAAGGGGCAGGAATTGGGGTGATCTGTGAAGGGGCAGGAATTGGGGTGATCTGAGGTCTGATGGTGATGGAATTGGTGTGATCTGAGGTTTGATGGTGCAGGAATTGGGGTGATCTGAAGGGTGATGGTGATGGAATTGCGGTGATCTGATGTCTGATGGTGATGGAATTGGGGTGATCTGAGGTGGGAAGGGGCAGGAATTGGGTGATCTGAGGTCTGATGATGAAGAAATTGGGGTGATCTGAGGTCTGATGGTGAAGGAATTGGGGTGATCTGAGGTCTGACAGTGAAGGAATTGGGGCTGATCTGAGGTCGGATGGTGAAGGAATTGGGGGTGATCTGAGGTCTGATGGTGAAGGAATTGGGGGTGATCTGAGGTCTGATGAGATTGGGGTGATCTGAGGGGTGGGAAGGGGCAGGAATTGGGGTGATCTGAGGTCTGACAGTGAAGGAATTGGGGCTGATCTGAGGTCGGATGGTGAAGGAATTGGGGGTGATCTGAGGTCGGATGGTGAAGGAATTGGGGTGACCTGAGGTCTGATGGTGAAGGAATTGGGGTGAACTGATGCTCGTAAATGGCCACTATGTGGAACAGGTCGCTGACCCCATTCTAACCCTCACCAATTCCATCCAAAAAACAAAAACTTTAATCACTTCATGACAAACGTCCTCATTCAGAACAGAAGATCTATGTAAACTTGGGGCCGATCGTATCCTCTACAATATAACCAGCCAATAAAATTCGTTCTTTGTGCAGCAATGGGGCAGGGAAGTATCCGGTCCGGGTGACTCCGTCGTCTGTAGTGCAGCGGAGGTGTCACTGAACTCACCAGTTTGTCGCGGTCCTCCATGGACTGGTAGTATTGCTCCTTTCCCTGCTGGCTCTCGTCCTTCTTCTTCAGATACGGCTCAATGGACTTATACTGAGCGTAGAAGTTGCTGAGATCCTGAAGAACAGAAAAGAAGATGAGGGTCACCATCTACACAGGAGACTGTACCATGTAGGGTGCGGGTGTCAAACTCATGGCGGGCCGTATCAGATGGTGAAGAATTGGGGGCTGATCTAAGACGTGGGAAGGGGGTAGGAATTGGGGTAATCTGAGGTCTGATGGTGAAGGAATTGGGGTGATCTGAGGCGTGGGAAGGGCAGGAATTGGGGCTGATCTGAGGTCTGGTGGTGAAGGAATTGGGGCTGATCGGAGGTCTGGTGGTGAAGGAATTGGGCTGATCTGAGGTCTGGTGGTGAAGGAATTGGGGCTGATCTGAGGTCTGGTGGTGAAGGAATTGGGGTGATCTGAGGTCTGGTGGTGAAGGAATTGGGGTGATCTGAGGTCTGGTGGTGAAGGAATTGGGGTGATCTGAGGTCTGGTGGTGAAGGAATTGGGGTGATCTGAGGTCTGATGGTGAAGGAATTGGGGTGATCTGAGGCGTGGGAAGGGGCAGGAATTGGGGCTGATCTGAGGTCTGGTGGTGAAGGAATTGGGGCTGATCGGAGGTCTGGTGGTGAAGGAATTGGGGTGATCTAAAGGTCTGGTGGTGAAGGAATTGGGGTGATCTAAAGGTCTGGTGGTGAAGGAATTGGGGTGATCTGAGGTCTGGTGGTGAAGGAATTGGGGTGATCTGAGGTCTGGTGGTGAAGGAAAATTGGGGTGATCTGAGGTCTGGTGGTGAAGGAATTGGGGTGATCTGAGGTCTGTGGTGAAGGAATTGGGGTGATCTGAGGTCTGGTGGTGAAGGAATTGGGGTGATCTGAGGTCTGGTGGTGAAAGAATTGGGGCTGATCTGAGGTCTGATGGTGAAAGATTGGGGCTGATCTGAGGTCTGATGGGTGAAAATTGGGGCTGATCTGAGGTCTGATGGTGAAGGAATTGGGGTGATCTGAGGTCTGATGGTGAAGGAATTGGGGCTGATCTGAGGTCTGATGGTGAAGGAATTGGGGCTGATCTGAGGTCTGATGGTGAAGGAATTGGGGTGATCTGAGGTCTGATGGTGAAGGAATTGGGGTGATCTGAGGTCTGATGGTGAAGGAATTGGGGCTGATCTGAGGCGTGGGAAGGGGCAGGAATTGGGGTGATCTGAGGTCTGATGGTGAAGGAATTGGGGTGATCTGAGGTCTGATGGTGAAGGAATTGGGGTGATCTGAGGTCTGATGGTGAAGGAATTGGGGTGATCTGAGGTCTGATGGTGAAGGAATTGGGGTGATCTGAGGTCTGATGGTGAAGGAATTGGGGCTGATCTGAGGTCTGATGGTGAAGGAATTTGGGGTGATCTGAGGTCTGATGGTGAAGGAATTGGGGTGATCTGAGGTCTGATGGTGAAGGAATTGGGGTGATCTGAGGTCTGATGGTGAAGGAATTGGGGCTGATCTGAGGTCTGATGGTGAAGGAATTGGGGCTGATCTGAGGTCTGATGGTGAAGGAATTGGGGTGATCTGAGGTCTGATGGTGAAGGAACAGAAAAGGAGAAGATGAGGGCCACCATCTACACAGAAGACTGTACCATGTAGGGCGCGGGTGTCAAACTCATGGCGGGCCGTATCAGCATTGTGGTGGCTCTCAAAGGGCCGGTTGTATCTGTAAAACTAGATTTCCGGAGCACCTCACCCCTCCCCCATTATATCAGATGTCAAGAATCCCACACCCTCCCTAACATCACTGTGCACCCCCTTTTGGGGGCAGAGCTGGAAAGCAAAAAAGTGCCGGGTCTGGAGGAGGGACCACCAGAGGAGGAGTGGAGTCTGCTGAATGCTGAGACCAGGGGAGGCAGGGATGAGGGGGGTGCTGCAGCTGCACTGAGAGGTGCCGGATTTGGCAGAGAAGTCCTATTCTCATCTCTACTGCTGAGACAAGGTGGGGGCGGAGACAAGGGGGTACCAGCAGGAGAGAGGTGCAAGGGCCACATGAAATGTCCTGGAGGGCCGCGGGCCTTGTGTTGGACACCTGTGATGTTGAGGAAGTCATTGGCGGAAGCAGAGGAAGTGTTGCCACCCCTCCCAGTGGTATCACTTACAGGCACCAGGTCCTTCACCACGTACATGTGGGGGAGGGGGGTAGATTTTGGTGACTTTGCTCAGGTTGGTGTCAATCTTTATAGTACAGGCCAGAGTGTTGCCTCCATTAATATTCATGGCGCAGGAACCGCAGATACCTGGAACGGGGGGTGACAAGATGGCAGTGGTCAGTTGGACTGACGTTAAAAAAAAAAAAAATGCCAACGTGAGATGTTGCGTCACGTTGCGGAACACTTACCTTCTCTGCAGGAACGGCGGAAGGTCAACGTGGGGTCCATCTCATTCTTTATCTTGATAAGGGCATCCAGGACCATAGGGCCACACCTGGGAGGAGCGAGGGACACCGTCAGACTCAGAACAGGAAGTTACCGAACTCACGTCAGCCCACGCCACTTATGACACAGTTTGTTTACATTTTACCCCCCTCGCCTACCGGGCGCTTCTACCCCCTTCCTGCCCGCCGGGCGCTTCTACCCCCTTCCTGCCCGCCGGGCGCTTCTACCCCCCTTCCTGCCCGCCGGGCGCTTCTACCCCCCTCCCTGCCCGCCAGGCGCTTCTACCCCCCCCCCCCCCCCCCCGCCAACTGGGCACTTCTACCCCCTCCCTGCCCGCCAGGCGCTTCTACCCCCCTTCCTGCCAACTGGGCACTTCTACCCCCTTCCTGCCTACCGGGCGCTTCTACCCTCTTCCTGCCTACAGTACACTTCTACCCCCTTCCTGCCTACCGGACACTTCTACCCCCTTCCTGCCTGCCGGGCGCTTCTACCCTCTTCCTGCCCACCGGGCACTTCTACCCCCTTCCTGCCCACCGGGCACTTCTACCCCCTTCCTGCCTACAGGGCGCTTCTACCCCCTTCCTGCCTACCGGGCACTTCTACCCCCTTCCTGCCCCCACCGGGCACTTCTACCCCCTTCCTGCCTACAGGGCGCTTCTACCCCCTTCCTGCCTACCGGGCACTTCTACCCCCTTCCTGCCCACCGGGCGCTTCTACCCCCTTCCTGCCTGCCGGGCACTTCTACCCCCTTCCTGCCCAGGCCAATTTTCAGCTTTCAGCTCTATCACACTTTGAATGACAATTGCGCGGTCATGCAACACTGTACCCATATGAAATTTTTATCATTTTTTTGAGACAGATAGAGCTTTCTTTTGGTGGTATTTAATCACCTCGGGGGTTTTGTATTTTTTGCTAAACAAACCAAAAACCACTGAAAATTTTGAAAAAAAAGTTTTTTCTTAGTTTTTGATATAAAATTTTGTAAATAAGTGATTTTTCTCCTTCACTGATGTGTGCTAATGAGGCTGCAGTGATGGGCACTGATAGGATGCACTGATGAGGAGGCACTGGTAGGTGGCACTGATGAGGAGGCACTGGTAGGTGGCACTGATGAGGAGGCACTGGTAGGTGGCACTGATGAGGAGGCACTGGTAGGTGGCACTGATGAGGAGGCACTGGTAGGTGGCACTGATGGCCACTGACTGGCAGCACTGAAAGGCAGCTCAGATGGACACTGGCAGGTGGCACTGCTGGGGCCACACTGATCATCAGGGCACATGTCCCCTCCGAGGAATGCCGATTCCCGGATCTCCACTCCTGTCAGCGTGACAGCTCGTGAGGAGAGAAATGCCGATAACCGGCATTTCCCTATTTACATGCCATCGATGTGATTGGACACAGCTGTTCACATGACCAAGCCGACATCTTCGGCTCTTTCCGTTGATCGGTGATCCGCTGTTTCCGAGGGACAAAGCGCACCACCGATCGCCGCGCGCCCCCGGAGCCGCACATGCGCGGTTAGAATGGGAGGACGTCATATGACTCCTCCCAGAACGAGAGAGCCGCCTTGCGCCCGTCATTACCTTGTATGGCGTGCGGGAGGCGGCTAAAATCAGTATTTTTTGCTAAAGAATGTCTTAGAACCCCCCAACATTATATATATTTATTTAAAAGCAGAGGCCTTAGAGAATAAATTGGTGGTTTTTGCATTTTTTTATGTCGCGTGGTATTTGTGCAGAAATTTTCAAACAAAATTTTTGGGGGAAAAATACACTTTTGTGATAAAAAAAAAAAAACCCCACACAAGTCCGATCCATGGAGGCTCCGCCTCCCAACTTACAGGACTTCAAGGATCTGCTGAGGGTGTGGTGCCGGAGAGCACAGCGCACTTTCACAGATCTACTGGAGTCCATGCCTGGTCAGGGCAAGAGGAGGACCTACCCAAGATGAGGTAGGTGGTCCTAATGTTATGGCTGATGTATGTACAACAGTTCACATTCGGGTTAGGAAAGCCCTGTGATGGGCGACACCTACACATTCAGGTCCACCTCGTAGGTCTGCATCCGCGGTTTGTCTCCTGGCTTGTCGGGATCCCATCTGTAGATTGCGAATTTCTTAATGCGGGCCGATGCTGCTGCTGCTGCGGGCGCTGCGGCTGTCTGAGCACATCGGGTCACCTGAAAACATGAACAGAAATAATCGCTTTATCCCAAAATGTCACTTCGATCTTCTGTGCCTATCCCTTGAAATACGGCACAACCAGCACACGGGGTCACGGCGGCATCTCCAGGCTGAACTGTGGTGACAACTTCGATCCAGACAACCAATAGAAAGTGCCGGAGTCGCCGAAAAATCGCAGCAAGGCTTTTCCATGAAAGCGGAGGCCTGCAACCCGGCACAGTCTGTCCTGACCCGTCACGGCCTGCCCCGACCCGGACTGCCCCGACCCGGACCCGTCACGGCCTGCCCCCCCGACCCGTCCCGGACCCCCGTCACGGCCTGCCCCGACCCCTGCCCCGACCCCCGTCACGGCCTGCCCCCGACCCCGACCCGTCACGACCTGCCCCGACCCCGACCCGTCACGACCTGCCCCGACCCCGACCCGTCACGGACCCCTGCCCCGACCCCGACCCGTCACGGCCTGCCCCGACCCGTCCCGACCCGTCACGGCCTGCCCCGCCCCGACGGCCCCCGA